AGTGTAACAAAATGGTGCAGTCCACCCCCCTATTATAAATAGATTAGGCCACTCCCTAATGCTGGGAGCCGATTGGCTATCTAAAAATAGCTGGGTTGGGATCTTAAGACCCATCGCCCAAGACATGTAGTAGTTGAGCTCTGGATCTCATGAAGTTTAAAACTGGGAAATCCCGACGTTAGTGTTAAGTAAGGTAGGACCTGTAGTAATTCTACAAAATAGTTTATAGTCGAACTCAGTCATTAAGACTTGAGAGCCCAGTAAGGGACAGGCCTACTTATAGTTTAATTCCGGTGTTAACGGGAACCGGTCGGCGGCTGCTGTGTGCTCCGCATATATGACATTGTATTTGTTGTCGATAATGGTACCAGTTTTATTGATCCAATAAATGCTATGAGAAACTCAGTTAATTTTGTTTGAAGTTTATTCAATAGTCGATCCGTATTATCTGACGGCGTGTCCGACAGACTTATTTACGCAGGACTTAGACTAGACTGAGACTGCTTGGCCGAAACCGCCACAATATGAAAGGGATGTTATGTGTATTGGGATTCAATAATATTAAGTTATATACTCATTTGAATTCGTATATCGATACCTTTCATTTGACACTGAACCTGCTAAATGTCTCAATTTAGTTTGACAGTTAAATGCCCATAGGGTACACTTTTTTTTAAATAAGAACCAGTAAAATTTCTCCTAGGCTCAGTGTTTGTTTTTTTTTTATATATAGTTTTACACACTTTACAAACGTGGAAAATTATTACAGTATTGTACAGCAGTATATTACTATATTGTATTATAGAGGGTATTACATGTCATACCTACTGCGAATTAGGTACAGATAAGATATGTTGGTTTTCTATTTTTTATTTCTTTGTTTTTTTTTTTTTTATAAAAAATCTCATTTGACATTATAACTCAGCCTCAATTTGTTCTTATTTTGTTTTTAATTTTTTGGCAATTTCAGCCTCAATGTTCTTATAAATTGTCTTATTTAAAAAAAAGTATATACTAATATCAACTATATTGACAGCTTGCACAATTAGACCTAAATATTCCCAGACCTATAGGTAAATCAACCAAAGTTAAGAGTATTTCATTAAACAACTTATTAAATCATAGAGAAAGAATTAATTAGCTACACTTTCAATAGTAGATGGTATGAGAAATACCCAATATCACCGATACAGAAAACATCTCAGAATCAGAGAGAAATAAACTACGGAACTGACTCCGACTCTAAAGTTTTTTAAACTCCTGTAACATCTAAACGAGTTACCTGGAATTCATTCTCTTTGTAAATATTTTTGTAGTACAGTAGTACAGTATTATGTTTTAATAAAGGCATTGCAGCAAAGTACCCAGAACCGATGTAGTTGATCTTATTGAAAGTATTCTACCAGCAACAGCCATTACATTTCAATAGTTTTAAAGCATAAAGTATGTCCATTCGCCAACCGCTTCTACGAAGCGGTTGGCGAATGGACACACTTTATGTTGGCGCATCGGTTGTGGCTTGGACTCCCAACTCTCGCTGTGCAAATCGCTTGTGTCCTTAGGCAAGGCACTTTATCTACGGTTGCCTCTCTCCACCCAGAAGAACAAGTGGGTACCTGGTAGGTTCCAACACAACTGCGCTGATTACTAGCCGCAATATTATGGAATAATAATATAATTTAATTTAATAATTTAATTTGGTGTTCCATATGTGTTTGATCCAATGACCGGTGTAGTAATGTGAAGCGCTTTGAGGCTCTGTTAAGGCATTAAGCGCTATATAAGAACGACATATTCTTATTATTACTGTAGATAGTCTGTTGACGAAACTTTTGAGCTGCCTGTCCGACAAACACCCTGTAGCCATTTCATCATGTTTGAATATGTGTATGAACTAGATACAATTTCAACAGGCCATAGTGATTTGCTGTCATGCTTTGAATGATACTGTTGACATATTCATAATCAAAGTATTATATATATATATATGTATATATA